CTGTTCGTGCTGCTTACTGCGCAATGAATCTCCTTGGAATCTTAGTTGCGCCATATTACGTCTGTTTTGCGGCTGCGTGGTATTAAAAGGTCGATAAGGTCATTGTTTTTTCCATTTTTTGGATTTCATACGCTGCCAAAACATAGAATTTATTGTGTGCTCTTCCACAAGGGAAGCAGTTTACACAGGAACATTCAAAGCTATTATGTTTATCTGAGAGACACTTCTAGCAGAGTCTGCTCTCCTTAACAATATTTCTTCTAGTTTGAGCATCGGTTGTTGATTTGCAGTTGATTGGAATATGATCATCACTTCACTAAAATAGGCAATATTTTCCCCTCTTTTGAACTCCTCTCGGATGTAGCTTTCTTGTTTCTCGTCGTTTCAAACTTAAAATGGTCAAAAATTCTTTGCGGTTATCTCTTTTTCTGTCTCTCACAGCAACGTCTATGGTGAATTCTTCGTTGTGTTGAACCATGGTTAAGTTTTTTTACAATATGATATGAAAGTTCTTCTAAATTTTTTTTTGTCCACACCGCATCCTGTACATAGCGAACATCTTGCCTGACTGGAAGCAGGTGATTGACCAGCATTCGAATTTTATCACATTTATTCATGCAACTCTCTGCTCTTCCATTTGCTACTAACATATCTAACGGCTTATTACCAAACTTGTTTTAAATTCTTCTGTCATTCTAGTTCTGTGGGACTGATTGTATGCCTTTTATGGCGGGTTCAGCTCTTCCTAGGCTATCTCTGAACAACAACAATTTTTTTGACTGTGCTCAGAATTTAATCGACCAGAGTCGTGTATATCGGAATTCAAACTCTTCCTCGTAAAACCGTGGTATCTTTGACTGCTGTGGTTTTAAGGTGCGACTTATGACGTCTTCTACTGACATCTTGCTACTCCCGGAACTATACTTAAATAGCCACAACGCGTCAGCGGGACTGATGAGCCCATCGCTATCCTTGTTTTCTGCCGATTTTCCACTCTCTGAAAATGATTAGTTTTGTTTGTGCTGTGAGTGATTGTGGGGATTTTGTATCCCAGTTTTCGAACAAGTTTTTCCATTTGATTTTTGCTTCAGTGAGTCTTGCGTCCAGCATAAATATCATGTAAAGTTAGTTTGATTGCCGATCTCTTCTAACTCCTTTTCAACTTCGTTTTTGTTATATTATGCTGTGCCTACTTCATATTGCCTCAAGTTTATTACTAGCAACTCTAGAAAGTTCCTGCCTTGTTGGATAATTTGTATGCTACACGATATGAGGTTAACCGTACTAAGACAGGCCTCGTAATTCTCATCCTCGCCTGGTAGGGTGTGGGGATTTGAGCTAAACGCAATCGCTTTCTTAATAAACAGCGACATTTTAGTCCTCCTGGGGTTTCAGGGCAATTTGGACTCCAAGGTCTTCTTTGCCAACCTTCTGTGCTGCTGTTTTCGCACTTGTCGGCTATCTACTTGGTCGAT